CAATGAAAAGAGAGAGCTCTAGTTGGAGAGAGAGAAGTTCTGCCATGAATTTCCAGACAGTCCCCTTCCCAGCTTCCCAATGTTCTCTGAGCTTAGATGCAGGAGTGTTTTTGTAGATGTATCCAGTGGGACTGGGCTTCCAAATCCTGCATTTTGATTGTTTGTGGCTTTCTGTAGTCATCTCCATCTGTTCCAAAGAGAAAGTTGATGGATGGTTCCCAAAGACATTAAATGGCAGAAAAACATCATGTGCTCAGACCTGGGCTTCCCTAAGCTAATGCGTATCTGGTTCTAGAGGCTGAGGGGATAGTGCAGCACATGTGTAGTTACAGTGAGACAATGAAAGTGAGCTGAAGTAAGGTTTTGTAAACAGAGAAGGAAGAGAGGTTGGGGGTGGGCAGCAAAACTTGCTACACATACTTGATGGTAAAGAAGAAGTCTTTATTTCACATGCTGGTGAACACTGATCCAAACCAGATTGAAGAGGAAAGAGTTTATTATGCCTTACAGATTAGATCCATGATCAAGGGAAGACAGGGCACTCAAGGCAGCAACCTGGGGGAACTGAAGTAGAGATCATGGAAGAATGCTACTTACTGACTGCTCCTTCTACCTTGGTTGGCCTGCTTTCATATATAATCCCAGGACCTCCTGCCTAGGAGTGTTACCTCACACAGTGGGCTGTGCCCTCCCACATCAATCATTAATCAAGAAAATTCCCCTACAGACTTGCCTACAGGCCAGTCTTATGGATGTAATTCCTCAACTGAGGTTCCTTTTTTTTCAAGTGACTCTAGTTTGTGTTAAGTTAATAAAATCTAACAAGCAGAGTAAATTTGGAGGACTTTAGAGTTTTCTTCCATTTACTATAACTGCTGATTCCATGGCACAAAAGACAATGATGCTAAAAGAAGATATTGCTCCATCGAAGAGTTCAGGGTTTGAATCTGAGAGACATGAGGGACTGGCAGAATAATACATTGAGGTGTGGTTCAGATTTAAGACAAAAGCCCACAAGTTAATTTAAGACAAAAGCCAACAAGTTATATCTAGACATCTTGTACATACTGCTTTCAAAGTACTTTTGTGCTAAATAGTAGCATTATGAAGAAGGAGACAAGAAAATTAAGGATAGGATCTGGGCCGTGTGTACGTAACCCTTTTTGTAGTAAGAGAAAGTATTCAGGACAAATGCACTCAAGATGGACCAGAACCTGAAGGAAATATGCCAGAGCCGAGGCAGATGGGACTACCACAGGAAAACTGGTCAGAGTATGCTGCACAATAAGGGCCAACTAGCAGGAGAGTAAAGACAAGAATACTATGCACAGACATATTACTCATCCAATTATTAGGAGTAGCACTCACAGAATGTTGGGCTAGTACTTGATTACAATAAATTGTAATGGGATTAGATCTGAATCAAAGAGATGTTGCTATTTCAAGAAGTTTTTTAAAATGAGAATAGAAAGGTTTCTTATGGTGACAGCAGGATTGTACAATAGTTATTTTAAGGGAAAAAGCTATATCTTTCTAGACAGAAGAGAAGGAGAATGCTGAGGATGAGATACATAGGAAACACTGAGGGAGTTGCAGCATTAACAACACAAAGTCTCTGAAAACAGATTAACCTTGTAAAAGTTGGAGGGATTTAGAAACATTTGTTGAACATGTTCATTGGCAAACACGACGTGGAAAGCCCAGGTCTTCCTTGGCGTTTGCAGAGGTTTGACAAATGTGTGTCTCCACAGGGCAGCACCCCAATGGAGTTGCACAGATTTCTATCCCAGCAGAAATTTTCCTCTTGGTCTTTTCTCTGTCACAGTACAGAGAAAGTCATTGAAGGAAGAGCTGCTACCATTACGTGGCATGGCTTGTTCTCTACCTCCGTACAACATGCACTTATATTTGGTTTCCTGGATTTGCCACTGTGTGTTTGATATGTACCAGCGAGGTTGCAAATACCACCATCCTTCGTTTCAATGTCAGAGCAGTTTCTTCTCCTCCGGTTTATTCATCATTCATCTTCCTGGGCTGTTGCTCGATTTCTACTATTATAAAATGGTCACAGACATTTGTATATAAGTCATGCCGATCCCACAAACTCACATTTAAGTAAATACCCAGGAATGCAATGACTGGACCACAGAGAAGGTGAATGGTCACCATTCCAAGGCATGGCCCATTTTCAATGTCAGTCGGAGAACCACAAGCAGTGGATGTGTAAACCATCACTAGCGTGGGTCTTTGTTTCCTGCAGATGATCACCTCTGCAGATATGCAGAGGTCTCATCTTAAGTTCTAATGTGCTCTTCATGCAAAGATTCCCACACTATGATGAATCCACTAAATTATCTTTTCAACTAAAATCAAAACTGGGAAGAGAGTGTTTGAGTTGATTTTAATACTGATTTGTAAAAGTCAGATAAAGCAAATGGATAAAATGAATGTGTTCTGATGAGTATACATCCAAAATTATTTCCTCAGGCAGCAAGAGGAAATGGGGATAAAAAGAAGTCAACAAAGAGTGACAGGCTGGGAGACTGAGGTAGGCCAACGCAGTAGACATCATCGTGACATTGAAGGTGGGTAAAGAGGAGAGGGAAGAATCAGGCTTAGAAAGTTCAAGGTTTCTAAAACCCAAGAGCTACAGGGGATGCTGGCATACAGATAATATATTAAAGGAGAGAGGGGACAAAGGTAATTTGAAATAAGGGAAGATGAGATTTATGTGTCTGGAACACTGGCCTCGCTGGTCCCCATTTATAGGCTGATATATGAGCTGAACCACGAAGGCCATGATGAAATTGAAAGTGAACAGTTGGATATTCCATTTTCAGAATTGCCTCTCCAAGCCACTAAGTTCTTAAGGCCAGAACACAGCAGGGAATTTGGGAAACAGGTAGGCCTACAGATTCCTCCCTATGTGTATGGTATACCAAACCCTGGGAAGAAGCCCACTGGGGCCACTTAAAATAACACTAGAGCAAAACCAAAGACCTGTGTTATAAGAGCATTTTTATACTATCTGGATGCAACTGTTTCTCTTATGATCGCTGGATAAAATATGCTACAACATGAAATCTTGATAATGCTTTGCAGTCACTTATCCGTATTTGAATATTTTCATATAATCTTCAACATTTGTTAATATCCGAAACACTAAGTGGTTAGGAGTAAGTTCTGATTGCAGAGTTAATTTTAGAGCAAGGCTCTACAAGGATGCTCATCTTTATTAAACACCACCACTGCTTGTACTGGCAAGGCCCAGGCTGGGCCACCGTTCAGACCCTGGAAGGAGATGCCAAAGACTTCATTGCTCATTACAGTCAGAAAGCCAGTTCTGCTGGCAACAGCCTAGGGGGGCAATTAGGACAGGATGTGTAAACAGCTCCATTCTCATTGGTACTGCCACATGCTGATCCAAAGTGGAGGCAACAGCAAGCTAATATATTCGCTGCACCCTTGGAACTTAATGGGAAAGCTCATCACTGCTCTTACTCTACTAGAGGTGGCCCTAGAAAGGATTTTTAATTTTATCCATTTTTTTGAAGTAGCTTATTGAATTGTACAAAATGAACAAGGCAAAAATAAAAAATCATAATATCTCAAACTCTCCAGGAAGGATTTGTTGTCCCTTGAACATTTTAAGAAGCATTGGGCTTTAATGCATGTCTCTAGTACAACTCCATCATGGAACTCATCATCTGAACGGTCCCTGTATGTGATTTCACTGTAGATTTAATGGCATTGGCAATGCATTCTCTGAATGTTGCCTGTTACCTTGGTAAGGTGTAAAGGTTGAAATGAACCAAAAATGTGGATTCAACTTGTAAAAAAAACACTGAAAACATAAAGAAATTAAGCAAGATTTTCTTTAGGTGGTAATTTTTGCTGGAATAGAAGTGATAAATGCTGATTTTTAAATAAACTATTTTATTCCACTTCATTAGAGTTTTTGACTTTGCATTTATAAAGGAAAGTTTAGAGCTTCATCATTGCCTTCAAGTTTTAATTTTTAAAAGGGCTTCAAGAACATTTTTATTTTGAAGTTTATATGACTCTAATATTTAAACAAAGAATAAAACTAACACAGAGTGGGGAGACCTGGCATTCTAGGCCATGTTTATATCTGTGACCTTATGACTTAGGGATCTCCTCCACAGACTTGGTAATGGACAGTGGATTAAAACAATAGCTATGTTGTCAATGAAGCCAGAATTTATCATTACAGATCATAAAATGGAACAAGACTTGAGGGATCACAGTATGAAATTACTTACAAACTTTTTATTTGCCTCATATATCTGGCAGAAAGTGTCTAAGAAGTAGGAATAAGTATACAGGGCCTCGCAGTGTGGAAAGATACCTGCCCAGCAGGTTGTAACCATAGCTTCCCATGCTTGGCCGACTCTTGGCTCCAATGTGCTACTGGACCCCACAGCTTCTATCACGTGGCCCTTTGGGTGACAGGCCTGTGAGAAGCTTGATGGAATAGGATAATTAGAAGTGCTAAGCTAGACTTAGATCACCAACATTAGTACATGAAATAACTGACAACCAATCCTTCTCATCCTTTGATTAGGAAATTGACTCAGAGACATACTCTCATTTTTTCTGGGATTCAGAGTCAAGATGTGCAGGGATATATCGTCGAAAGTGAGCTAAAGGAACAGCTTTCTTCAAACCAGAAACAAACCCGACATTTGTCAGCAGGAGGATGGATAAATAGTGACGACACGTTCGTAGCATGGACCACTTCTTAACACCAAAAGGGCTCGACTGATAATGCTGCAGTCTGGGTGGCTCTCAGTCACTCACGCTGAGTGAAGAAGTCCGCAACAGAAAGAGGGCACTAACTCTTCAGGATTTGCAGTAGTTACTTTTCTGTTCTGAGAAAATACCATGACCAGAGCCTCTTATAACATGAAAAGTTAATTGTGATGCATGGGTCCAGAAGGGGACTCCATAATGGTAGAGATCAGAGGCTTGGGAGAGAACAGCACAGCAGCAGGTGGTCAGAGCTGGAAGCTGAGGGTTCCTGCTGTCAATGGTAAAAACACAAAGCACAGAGAGTGGGCTGGAGCTGAAGGAAAGCTACGAACTCTCAAAGTCTGCCCCAGTGACACGAGGCTGCACCTCCCCAGACAGTGACAAGGAGTCTTCAATGCCTGATCATCTGGGATACATTTCTCACTCAAACTATCACAGGGTGTATGCCCAGAAGTGGTATCATGAATGCATTTACGAAAATGTCATAATGAAACCCATTATTTTGTACAAGAAGTATATGCTAATACAAGAACATAATGTTTTATTCTCTTAATGTACAGCTATAAAAAATTGAAGCTAATTTCCAGTGGGGGAAAATGTGCGCCAGCGTTTGCCTAGAAAGGCAAGGAAGAGGGTGGGAGGGAGTCATTACAAAGGAGACTCGGGAAATTTTGAAAAGTGATCTTTGAGTTCCTCCTAGACTGTGATGATGGATGCACAGGGTTAAATGTCTGCTAAGGGACTGATGGGTCAGCTCAGCAGGTAAGGGCTCTTGCAGCCCAGTCTGACACCCTTAGAGTCATCCCTGGGACCCATAAAGTAGAAGGAGAGAACTGGCTACCACAATTTGTCCTCTGACCTCCACAGGTCCACTGTAATATGAGTGTACACAAACATACACATGCACACACACACACAAACACACACACACATGTGCACACACACATGCACACACACACACGTGCACACACACATGAACACACAAACACACACACAAATGCATGCACACACACATACGCATACACACACATGTGCACACACAAATAACTTTTAAATAAATAGATTAAAAACAAATGCCTGTTAAAATGTACAATACTAACTACTTTTAATGTGTGCATTCAAGAACACAATAGGTGTACCTCATTAAAGTTGCTTTTTAAAAATGACCACTTACCAGAGTGAAATCATGGTCAAAAACACACTGTAGATGTTTCAAACTTCAAATTCTCAGATTGTCTTTTATACAAGTAACAGGATGGAAGGGTATGGTGTGCGCTGGGTGTGCATCACTTGTGTTTCAGACTTCACGATGCTTGTCTTTTTTATCCTCGTTATAACAAGGAGTCCCTCATTCTTCTCACTGTTTATACACTTCTGTCTGCTTTCAACCACATACATGTTCTATACACTTGACTTACTCCCTCGGTAAATGGTGCAATTTCATACCTATATTTTCTTCTTTCCTGGGCTTCCCTTATACCTTCCTTACTAACTCTGTCCACCTTGGCTAAAGCTCCAATGAATTTCTGCTCCTTCCTTATTCCATCTGAAATCCTGTTTTGTTTTCTTTAAACTCTAGTTTCTACAGCGTTTGGAAATCTTTAAATGATATTGGACCAAAGCAAGGATAGTTTCATCTAGTGTATCTCCATCAACCAGCCTGCTCCAGAGTGGCTGTCAGTAACCCTCAACTGGCCGAGGTCTGAAACAAGAAGTGAATGTATCATCCTACTTAATATTTTCTAAAAACATTTTTTTCATTTTTTAGGATATATTTTGTTTTGCTTATTTTGTGTCTACGGGTGTTTTGTCTGCATGTGTGTCTGTGTATTACATGAGCCTGGTGCCCTTAGATCCTCTGGGACCAGAGTTACAGCCGGTTGTTAACTGACATGGGGGTGCTGAGACTCGAACTCAGGTCCTCTGGAAGAACAGCCAGTATTCTCAATGACTGAGCCTCTTCTCCAGCTCCCTGTTTGGAAATTATTCCTAACAAAATAGAGGTGTTAAGCACTTCAAACAGAGCTCTCAGGAATGTTCTAGCAAACTGATCAAGTAGATATTATTAACCACCTTTAATAAGGAGTGAAATCAAGTCTCAGAAAGAAGGCCACATTCCTTGAGACCACGGGGCTAATGAACAGCAGAGCCAGGCTCAAAATCCAGGTTCGTTCCTGATTCCTGGTCCCACAGTGCTAAGGCAGCACGGGATCTTCACACGTGTCCTGGTGGAAGGGTTTTCACTCTGCACACTTCCATCATCGGATGTTTTACACAGTTTACATGCTGGACTCGAGTTTCCTCATCACCAGTGCTCCACTCTCTCGCCAGACACTTCAGATTTGTTTTTGGACAGAGGCGCATACGCAGACATCAGCACTGTGTCTCCATCCTGACGCTGCCGTAAGCACATGTGCACCTTGACCTCTAAAAGGCCCCATTGTTTGAACACGTTCATGTCCTCGGCCATCTTTCTTGGCTGTTAAAAAAGGGCACACTCTGGATGGAACATGTGAAAAGCCTTCAACAGAAACTTAGGGTGTGGGAGCAAAATGTCTACATACTCCCTAACAGAGGTTAATTAAAGACCAGTCTAGGCTCCTTCTGAGGCAGCATGCTGGGTGGCAAGATGAAAGGCTTGTGTTCGCTCAGTGATGGTCACTTGGGGTTTTTCACAGGTTTATAAGAACAAGTAGGGATTCTGATGAATTCAGATGAGTTTAAATAGTAATAAATTTGCAGAGTCTATAAATGAGACATATCTTAGCTCATGCCCAGTTTCTCAGGAAAAAGTTTAGCATCATGGTTGTTTCTTTCCCCTTTTGTCATTTCTGCATTCGTTTTCAGCAAATGCTACTAATACATCAAGGATCTGCTCCCTACATCCTCACCAAGGCCACCATCTACTACCAATGACCTTCCACCACACCAACAATAACTGTTGTTTATAACACACACACACACACACACACACACACACACACACACACACACACACACACACGACAGTCAGTCCTTCAACCGCAAACTCAGTGGCTAGGTTACCTGTCCAACCTCCACAGGGCTTTCCACCAAGGGTAGTATTAAATCTAAACCTCTGAACTTGTCCCCCAGGGCCTTTCTGGACTGCATCTTCCTATCAAACGTTGGCTGTGCTATGTGAGTGATGTGCCATGATTTATATAAAGCAGCCATGGAAGCATGGATCTGGTCCGTGGGACTAGCAACGTCATGCCAATTATTTCGGCCCTGTCTGGATCAGGGCTCTCCTTCCTTAACTTTGCAGGAATAGAGTCTCTAGATCTGGTTTTGAAGTCTGTGCAGACCTGAAATTGTATACCGGCTTTTGCCACCAAAAGGGTCTCTGGCCCTTCATTTCTGTGTTCATTCTCTGGGGTACAGAGGCCTTGTCCCACACTAGCACTCTGTTCCTAGGTCAGTTTACAACTTGACATCTATTTCACACCCAAATTCCGACACCTGGCTCCAGACTGTGGTGGCCTTTTTATAGGACACAGCATTGGACATGAGATGTCTGAACTCTCACCTATTGAAATATCCTTAGAGCTGACTGTCTGCAACTTCTAAGTAAGAACCTCTTATAAACTTCCAAGTATGAAAGCAATTCTCATATGGATGTCCTCGGGATGTCATGCTCTTTCTTAAACCACCCAGAGTGTTTTCACAACATAGTTTATCTCAACATTATTACATATACTTAGCACTATATCTAAGGAAAATCACTTCGACTCCTAAAAGTTATTGTTATAATTAGCGGGAGAGATGCTATTCTTAGTATTAACATATAATTATGTCTCACAACAAATGTGAGAAACACTTTATTAAAGTACTCTCTGCCTCATTTCCTATGGATAAAACAACTGTAATTATATATGTGTGTATATATATGTATAATATGTGTATATGAAAATTTGTACTTCAAAGTTAGTTTTAGATTTTAGCATTATTAAAACAGCACTAACTTTAAATTCAAAGCTAAAATATTGATTCACACATAATTTGTGAATTTATTTGGATGTGAAAGAAAGTACAAATAATTTAAACTTTCATGCTTTAATTTCAAAATGTATACACAAATAATTACTAGAATCCCATATTGGGTTAAAATTAAAAACTCATAAACTTAGTCAGGCAGTGATGGAACACGCCTTGAATCTCAGCATTCAGGAGGCAGAGGCAGGTAGATCTCTGTGAGTTCAAGGCCAGCCTGGTCTACAAAGTGAGTTCTAGAATATCCAGGATGGTTACACAGAGAAAAACTGTCTCAAAAAAACAAAACAAAGCAAAACAAAAACCTCATAAACTTGAAAATAGTCACAATAAATCATAAAGTGAGACAATTTTCAAAAAGTCTTCCAGAAAATTGAGTGTCTAAAAGGTTTTGACACAAATGCCTGAAACCTCAAACACTGGGATAATTCAGTTCAGTTTTATCTAAATTTCATTTCATCCCAGACTGAAAACTTTCACAATGCTCAGAGTGTGTATCATAGGCAGCCCAAGAACCACTTCATACTTGCATGATAATTTCATTAATATCACAAGAGTTCCTGAGGATAGTGTCCCCTTAGGTAATTTATCCCAACATATTCACAAGTTTGATCTCAGCTGTCACTCAAAAAGGACCAAGAAGATTTCCAAAATTAAAAATTAGAACTCAATTAATCTTCAACCTAATGTCAACATGTTTCATATTTCCTTCAGTGAGCCAAGGAATTTTGGAAGGTGACATCATGTCTGAGAAAATGTCACACCCGGCAAGAAAGATTCTTTGACTAATTAGAGTCTCCCTTCTGAGGTGATGCTGTGGAGAAGGTGTTGAGAGCCTGCAACTGTCCAGGAAGAACAGAGTGGTTTATTTTAAATCCACATTACACCGCATCTATGATCCAAGGTCATCAGGTCTCTCTGGTTGAGTGACAGATGCCACGTGGACCATAGGAAAAGCTACTTTCCCAGAACATGTCACCTCTGGGAACAAGCAGAAAAGGAGATGAATCACGGCAGGTGCCACAGCATGAAAATTAAACCTATAAATGGGTATGTTCATCATGGGAAGAGTATAAAGTCTGAGGTTTGTCCCATTTACAGAAGGCTGAGCACAAATCAGCATTTCCTTTTTGCTAAGTGTTCCTGAGAGAAAGCTGAACAGATAATCATTGCTTAAATGCAGTTTTAAAAGCAGGCTTCTTCAGTCCCAATAAAATTCCATAGTACATTGTGGTTCATTTAAAAATTCATCAGTTTTTAGCTGATAAAATATTGTAAGTTAATCAGACCGATATTAAACAACATAAATATTTGGTTAAAGACCTTGCCTAATGGTGATTTCATTTATAAAATAAACATGAAATAAAGATGAGGGATAATGCTGGAGTCTTTCCTTCTCTTACAACTAATTCTCTATTACAAGGATATTGCCAAAAAAATGAGGTGTTCCAAACATTCACTCCATCTCACTCTTTTAAGGAAATAAATACACTTTAAAAATAACATGTGTTCCCATTTCAAAAAGCTTAAATAATTCATGAAATGCATGTGAAGCATTCCTTCCTTTAGCTTTCTCATTCCTTTTCTGACGCATTTTTGTAGATAAGTTCTGAATTTAGGTCTATGATACATTTTCCTACATTTCCAGCCGCCCACGTGCCACATCCTGCGGGGGCACAGCAGAGGTCAGCTTCTTTCCAAGACGCACTTGCTGGCCTAGGTTTCTATCGTGTTCCCTTACCCCACTATCCAGTCCACTCTGATTCTGATTTCACAGTGTTTCTCTTCTCTGTCTTCCCTTCACTGTCTGAACACCATGTCCCGGCTGGAGCCCACAGCTGATGTTCTCTTTGGTCCCAGTTACGAGGGGATTTTCCCAAATGGTCTCATTAATCCTGCTCCTCTGCTGTTATCAGTGCAACCTACTTCTCACAGTTCATCTTCAAAGAATGGAGCTCCTGCACATTTCTCTGGTCATTGTAGTCACTGGCCAACTGCTGCTAAGAACCCTAGTCCAACCCACAGCTCCAGAGAGGCTAGCTCGTAAAGAGGACCCTAGGAAAGACACAGGGATTGCCCAGCAATGGAGAAGTGGATGAGATCTATGTGAGCAAAGTGGGGGTGAGGGGGGGTGATGGAGGGTAAGGGTCGGGGGAAAGAGAGCTTAGGGGAGTGGGAGGTCCTAGTTGGATCAGGAACAGAGTGGGAGAACAAGAAAAGAGATACCATGATAAATGAAGACATCATGGAAATAGGAAGAAGCAGAGTGCTAGAGAGGTCCCCGGGAACCCACAAAGATGACTCCACTATAGACTACTGGCAAAGGTCAAGAGGGTGCCTGAGCTGACCTACTCTGGTGATCGGATGGCCAAACACCCTAACTGTCATGATAGAACCCTCATCCAGTGTCTGATGGAAGCAGATGCAGAGATCCATGGCCAAGCCCCAGGTGGAGCTCCAGGAGTCCAATCGATGAGAGAGAGGAGGGATTCTATGAGCAAGAGTTATCGAGACCATGATTAGAAAAAGTACAGAGACAACTAGCCAAACTAGTGGAAACACATGAACTGTGAACCAATAGCTGAGGAGCCCCCATGGAACTGGACTAGGCCCTCTAGATAGGTGAGACAGTTGTTTAGCTTGAAGTATTTAGAGGGCCCCCAGGCAGTGAGACAGGGACC